TGGGGGCTGCGATCTCCGAAGCTGTCGCCATTTTCGTGGGCTCCTGGGAGGCCCAGCGGAGGTGCGTCTTACGCAGATCACCATGAGACCTCGGCGTCCTCTGGGGGGCTGGGTTGCGACGTTGGAGGGTCCAGCGGCGCTGCTCCCACGAATTATGTCTCGAATCGTCTTTCCTCATTGTGTTTCCACACTCCTTCGTGGCCGCCTTCCTGCCAACGATCTGACTCGTAAGAGCAACGCCGCATATGTGAACATGTGACTCTGGCCCGACGTTCTTTGGTGAATCGTTCAAGGGCACGCCGGATCCTTCAGTGCCTGCTTTTGTATTGAGCGGTCCGATTTATAGCCGCCTCATGTATACAAAGGGTTGGGTACGTCCCTGGGTAATGAATAGAGCACTACGGTCGTGTCTAACCTCCTCCTCCCCCCTCCATGCCTCCTCCTGCGCTGCTTCCTGGGTGGCTGCGAACTGCGCAACTGTCGCCAATTTCGTGGGCTCCTGGGAGGCACGGTGGAGGAGGGGAGTATGCGGATCCAGCCGGGACCTCGCGGCTCTCTTGATGGCTGCGAACTGCGCAGCTGTAGCCTCTTTGTGAGCTTTTTGGAGGCACGACGGAGCTGGGGAATACGCACATCTTTCCGAGACCTCGCGGCTCCCTGGGAGGCTAGAGAAATGCGCAACAATCGCCATTTTCCTGAGCTCTCGGGAGGCACGGCGGAGGAGGGGAGCACGCACATCCAGCCGAGACCTCGCGGCTCCCTGGGGGGATTGCGAATTGCGCCACTGTCGCCACTTTCGTGGGCTTCTTTGAGGCCCAGCGGGGTTGGGGAGTAAGCACATCCAGCCGAGGCCACGCGGCTCCCCGGGAGGCTCTGGACTGCGCAACAGTCGCCATTTTCGTGAGCTCCTGGGAGGCCCAGCGGTGTGGGGGAGAACGCACAACCAGCCGAGACTTCCGAGCTCCTTGGAGGACTGCGAATTGCGCAACTGTCGCTGCCTTGGTGGGCTCCTGGCAGGCCCAGCGGTGTGGGGAAGTACGCACAACCAGCCGAGACCTCCGAGCTCCTTAGGGGACTGCGAACTGTGCAGCTGTCGCCGCCTTGGTGGGCTCCCGGGAGGCCCAGTGGGGTGGGGGAGTCGTGTCTAACCTCCTTCTCCCGCCTCCCCCTGCCTCCTCCTGCGCTGCTTCCTGGGTGGCTGCGAACTGCGCAACTGTCGCCTCTTTCGTGGGCTCCTGGGAGGCACGGCAAGTAGGGGAGTACGCGGATCCAGCCGGGACCTCGCGGCTCCCTGGGGGCGGGAGGCTGCGAACTGTGCAATTCTCTCCATCTTCGCGGGATCCTGGGAGACACGGCGGAGAGGGGGAGCACGCACATCCAGCCGAGACCTCGCGGCTCCCTGGCCGGCAGCGAATTGCGCAACCGTCGCTGCTTTCGTGGGCTTCCTGGTAGGTCAGCGGAATATTCTGTCACGTAGATAGTTACTGGCGTTAAGTCGGGCCTGTCCCTCTACAGGAGGAACATTCAAACATAGGAAAAATAGTCCAGGGACTATTTGCCTTGAGCTTGTTTCAAGTACTTCTGAATATTTCTGGGATATTTTTGATTTTTCGTCCAAGCTCCCCCTCTGTAGGGGGACATGCCTGACCTAATACTGGCGAAATCTTGCGGTTCCCCGTGTTGCTGAGGATTCTTCAGCTGAAGCCTTTTTCATGGGCTGGTGGCTGGTCCAGCGGAGGTGGTAGTCATGCGAGACCTCGCGGCTCATTGGGAGGCTGTGAACTGCGCAACCGTCGTCGCTTTCATGTGCTCCTGGGAGGTCGAGCGGAGCAGACTGTCCTCGCATCGTGTTCTCTTGTACGGAGCGTTCGTATAATTCATCGCCTCGCGTGGCGAAGGGGTTGGGCACGCGAAGGGGTTGGGCACGTCTTGGGTATATTTGTATCCCACCCCAAGCAACAACAAAACCGCCCCCCCCCCGGCCCCAGGACCCCTCCCCCGCCCCCCCCTTGATCCCCCGTCGTGGAGGGTTTCCACGGGGGGGCCGCCCTGATACTGCCTATGTGAGTGTGTATGTGTGTGCATGTTTACGGTACACATTGTGTGGTTGATGTTCTGCTTGCCTTGCTTGGGTGTTGTGCCAGATCTCGTGCAGCCTGTGTGCTCAGACGCGCGCTTTCCTTATGGGAGATCACGTGTGCGTGTGCGGTTAGTTGTTGCGCGTATGTTTCTGTTTGTGCGCATGTGTTCGCGTGTGTGCGAATGCATATGTAGACAATTGCGACTGTGCACCTTTGCATTTTCATGTGCATTCCGCCTGCGTGTTTTTTCTTCCTAGTCGCGATGCATGCGCAGGACGCTCGATGAGCTTGGCGAGCTCGAGGAGTGCAGGTCCCAAGTTGCTTTTACTGAGTGCCACACGGCTTGACTTCTCGTGCTGCCGTTGCTCGTCCCAATCCCAGGGCCTCCACTTCAGCTGGTGCGTTTGTCGTCGGCTTGATCATATCGGTGCACCTTCTCCTCAGCTTGCGGTTTCTCCTCTGCTTCCGCCTCCACCTCCGCTTGGTCCTCCCACTTCCTGCTTCTCGTCATCGTCGTCGTGGTCGTGGTGGTGGTGGTGGTGGCGGTGGTGGTGGTGGTCGTCGTCGTGGCCGTCGTCGTGGTTGTTGTCGTGGTCGTCGTGGTCGTGGTCATGGTCGTGGTCGTGGTCGTGGAGGTGGGTGGTGGTGGTGGTGGTGGTGGTGGTGGTGGTGGTGGTGGTGGTGGCCGTCGTCGTGGTTGCTGTCGTGGCCGTCGTCGTGGTTGTTGTCGTGGTCGTTGTGGTCGTCGTGGTCGTGGTCGTGGTGGTGGTGGTCGTTGTCGCGGTCGTCGTGGTCGTGGTCGTGGTCGTGGTCGTGGTCGTGGTCGTGGTCGTGGTCGTGGTCGTTGTCGCCGTCGCGGTCGTAGTCGTAGTCGTAGTCGTGGTCGTCGTGGTCGTCATCGTCG